GCATTCTTTTCCAAGTCATCTGTTTGTGTGAATGATTCCATTTGCCTAACCTGTGTGTTCCATTTTGATGATAGACAATGAGAATCATAATCTAATAATTCAATTCCGTTCACGAATTGATTCGAAAACATTCTTGAACTAGTTTCGAGAGAACTCGATATCCATTCCTCTTCAGACTCCGAATCGCGGAAAGTCGGGATTTCATCGGATGAGATTTCGAGAATTTCGCTCTCTGTCTTTTGAGAATTCTGCTTCTTCCTGTTATTCATATTTTTCCTTTTGGGTTTTTTAGTTTCTCTAAATTGGTTATATGTGTCTTTTTTCCTAGAAGAGGATAATACTAAATGTCTAATTCATTTTTCTTTTATTATCATATCTTAAAAATTGAGCAGAATCTCTTTTCTTTTTTAAAGTCTTAACAACTTAAACTGTTCAAAACTATAAGTTTGCAGTGTTTAATTTAGAAATTTTGTTAATTTCTCTATCTCTATTTAAAAACGATCACTTTAACTGTGTGGGTGGGGAGAGAGCCCGAGTTCAAAGTTGAAAGAAAGAATCCAATGTTTTTTTTTTTTATTTATTTATTTATTTTAAAGAAATGGCGTGATTTCGTTTGGCAGAAAATAAAACATAAAAAAAGTCTAATAAAAGTTCATTCTCTAATAAAATATTTATATAATTTTTATAGGTAATTAATTGTTATGAAAATAAGAAATAACATAAAATGGTTGTTTTGAATCCAAAGAGATGGTAAAAGATATCTTCCCACAAAATTCATCATTATGTATTTTATCGCATTGAACAATTACGCAACAATATTACACGCATCCATAAAATCCAAATTAATTCTGAAATTATTGCTGTATGAAAGAAAATTTGTTATTATTTATTATGCTGCAAAATTTATTTATTAAGGTTCAGTGAACTTCAAATTCAACAATTTTTTTTGTTACAAGGAAAACTACTATTCTCTGTGTGGTAAAAAACCATTACGACAATTTTACGACATTACAGGAACACAAGATTCGCTAATATATTTTATTTTCTTCCGGATAATAATCTATTGAAATGTTTCATGTTTTATTGTTATTTAACATACACCAGATATTTTAAATCCAGTCATGGAATTCTAATATACATATGAATACAATGTGTGAATTTAATCTGAGAGAAAACGAATCTCTTAAATTATATTATATTTTATGAGCATTAAATTGATTATATTTGTATCGAATTACATGTGTTTATACATACCTAGGAAAAGCCACAAATGCACAAAATAACACACAATTCATTTATATTTATTTGCACAGAATTACACGCCTTTGTTTGTATATATTTATGAGGCCAAACAATTAAAATCTTACATAATCCAGGTAGTATATTTTCGCAACAGACTTAATAGTATATATATATATATATATATATATATATATATATATATATATATCTGTGTGTAATGAAAATAACAAATCAACTAGAACTGAAGATGCAGTCTAAATATGAATAATTAAGCCTAGTAAAAATAGGAATTATTTTGAAAATATTAATTCACATTTAAAAGTTAAAAAATGAACAAAAAAAGATTAATGGAATAAAACTAAAATTAAAAAGAAAAAAGAAACATTCAAATTTATTTTTGTAGGCCTGATTTCATAAAACTAATGAAGAGGTACAAATATTGATATGTATATACACTCAAGAACATTGAAAATAATGCACCAAGAATGGAGTTTTGGACTGAAATGAAATTTTAAAACACATTAGGATACAGATGGGAGATTCACTTGATCCCGAAATCAAGAAAATTTAGCAAATACAGCGTGTACAATTAGACAAATACTGTGTAACATGGACTGCATCCTGCTGAATACATGCCGCGATACGGTCTGGCATTGAGTCGATTAGACGTCGGAAGTTGTCCTGAGGCAGCCAGCCAACAAATCTTGAAAAGCCACCTTCAAATGATGTACAGAGTGACGCAGCAGCATCTCGCGTTTCAGCTAGTCGCACAATTGCTCTATAGGGGATAAATCCGAGCAGCGAGCAGGCCATGGAAAAGTCTGAACATGTCATAAAAAGTCTTGAGCTACTAGAGCTGTATGAGGACGAGCGTTATTTTGCTGAAAAATGTCCTCTGAAAGAACATTTAGGAATGGTCCCAAGAGGGGTCAAAGATTATCAACATACGCTGGTCCGTTAAGGTTCAACGTACCACTGTTAGTGTGGACCGGCTATAATAGGCTATGCCTCGCCCAGACTATTACGTATGTTGTGTAGGCAGTGTAACGAGCGACAGTATGGGTTGAATTTTACTGTTCATCAGGGAGCCCCCACACCCGTACGCGGTTATCATCTGTCTTCAAAGCGATCCGGGATTCATCACTAAACATCACGTTTTGCCAAGCTGTGTTTAGTGATGAAAATAAAAAGCGCTCGGACAAGGCGCTTGGATTGAAGTTTTCTTCCGCTTAGAGTCTGGAAATGGTTTGTGAAACAACTGGCAGTCCTACATTTGATTGTAGGTGGAGCGAGTCACTGTGGGATCGACGATAGCTTGCCGCGTGATCCTCCGATCCTCTCCCATTATCGTCATCCTGGTCGTTACAGACTAAGTTCTCCGCACGTAGATACCCTTTTGTGTCGTTTGCTTCCAACATGTTCTGACGGCACACACCGAGCGAGAGATTTATCGAGCAACATGGCTTTTCATACCGATGATCAAGCCACTCTCAAACTCACATAACAGTGGGAAATATCTTCTCACACCTCTACCTGGCATTCTTCGATTACACTCCTTGAATCGGAATGAGATCATTACGTTTATAAATCTTCCACTGTATTCCGGTTTATATAGGGCCCACTTTCTGATTGCAGCGCCACTGCAGGGCATGCCGACATGCGCATTAGCATCAAACTTGGGTCATTTTCATTTCAGACATCACTCAACTAATTTTCAAAGTTTCGCGATTGTAGCTCGTTTCCCTCTTGGTACGTTATTTTTAATATTCCTGAGTGTATATATATATATATATATATATATATAAAGAAGGTTGTTATCTTTTGAGGATTTTGAAAAATGTAATAAAATGCGATTGACTATGTGTAAGGGGAACTAATATAGTTTCAAGTAAGAAAGTAAAAATGTTGATTTTATCATGTTAGATATCAAGTCAATACTTACCTCGAATAGCAGATGCGTCTAATTATAAGAATTCCTGTAGCTACTAACAGAATTGATATTCCGAAAAGATAGGCTATTTGTAAAAGTGTGAAATACATTAGTAGCTGTAGAATAGAGATGCATGTTATTGCTCTGGTTAAATTCTTTTTTTTTTCAGCGATGCTTATTCTAAGACTATTAATTGTACAAATAATTAAAAATAAATTAGCTTAAGCAGTGGAATAATTGTTGTAAATACAACAATAGATATGAGTCTATTTCTTAACAAAATAATGAGCAAATTTAAAGTGCATCATTTATTAAAACAACAATGAAGAAACTCCATTGAAAATCTCGTTATTGAATTATTAGATTTGTGAGGCTACAAAGTTAACAACAATCGAAGAAGACGCGAAATATAAAGAGACTAAGACTCGTTCAATCTGTTAGGTGGAAGGTCCTCAAGCTGGCATGGAGTTGATGAGGCCAGTAGGGTGTAGGTGTCGACTTTGTCATTTAACAGTAGTTCAGAATTACGAGGTGTACTGGTTACGGTTAGAGAACCTTAATGAGAACCGTAAAATGTACAATAAAAAAAATAATAAACTACTGAAGGTTTTTTTAAAAAAAAGTATATAATACTGATTCTTCACACACACACACAACAGCACAATATTTTTGTATTTTGGAATACGAATTATTTTTGGTTCATACATTGAGACATAATGTAAAGGGAAATAAGTAATTTTAAATACTATGCAAAAGATTCTTTTTTTTATTGATACATCTAGGTCTATTCGAAAAGAAAATAACTTAAATATCTTATTTTAAATATTTTTTTTCTCTATAAAACATGAAAAATATTAAAAATGAAACATTTTTATGAAAATACATAACTGAAAAAAAAATCTATAACACTTCCTCTACTTTTTTTTTTCATCCGTTTTGATTAGATTCAGACTTTTTCAGGTTTATACAAATCTTCGTAGATTTCGTTTGGAATTAATAACATCTGTGACTAGAAAAGAAGAATTTAACTCAGAATCATTAAGCAAAAAGTAAAGGCAAGGACCATTAAATTTAACAAAAAGTTTTAGAATCGCTAATATGAATATGAAAAGAAATTGGCAATGAGGTATTTATAAATAATTCTTTCGAAAAGCCCATAAGATGTCAAAATTTCTGTTAAAAATATAGGAATCAAAGAACTAATAGGTAATCTCTTCAAAATTTTTCTGATTTTAAAAGCAGAAATGACGTTATATATTTAATAAAAAAAACTAAAAATGAATCCATTTTCAACCTTTTTGTTCTTTTGTTTAGATACAATTAAGTAATAAATTCCTAAAATTATTGTTATTTTTTAAAGAATTTTATCACCAAAAATATTGAAATTATTTTTGCAATCTTCTAAGGATTAATATATAGACGTTATTCTGTGAAAGTATTTACATATGTTATATTTACTATTACTTCAGAGTTACTTATTTTTAGTTATTTATTTTTCCATTAAATTAAAAGGAATAATATTTATGTTGGAAAATAAATTAGATTGCAATTTGACAAACTGAGTCATCAAAAATGCTGGAATTTATATGATATTTTGTTTGAAAGATCGTTTTCTTGTTTTGGAATTTATGTAATGTTTCAGTGTAAGCAGCACTTTATTTTCCAAGACATTATCAAGATAAAAATATTGAGGAGATATTTACAAGAAATTGCTTAAAAGATACCACTTTATTTTATATTTTTAAAAAAACAAGGGTAAAATTTAAATATGTAATAGTTAAAATCTGAACAGGGATAGAGATGTGTTTAAAAAAAAAATTAATGCACAAGACACCGACGAGATACAAACTCGTGATCTCCTGTTTACTAGACAGACACTTTAACAAACTAAACCACGGCTCCAATGCAAAAAAAAAAAAGATACATAAAATAATATCAAAGTTTAATTATAATATATGTTTTTTATTAAAATATAATTTTTATGAAAACATAATTATAATTATGAATGTTATAGCAATGATACGGACAAAAATTGTCGTAAATATTATTTTCCTCCTTTGAAATTTTATGATCAGAAATTTTTATTAAAAAATATGCTTTTCCCCCTTTTTAACATAGTTTTAAATCAATTTGAGGATCCAACAGTAAAAATTTAGTGTGGCCATAGAATTTAATTTATTACAATCTTAAATTGGAAAAAAAGCTAAGGATATTTTAAATTCAATTCTGAAAATTTTATTTTTACTCACTTTTAAAACAGTTCTTATCATTTTTTTAAAAGTAATTTTAAAAATTTTAATTTTATGCTTAATTTGCTTTTTAAAAATTGAATTGTTTTTTCATTTTTGAATTTTAATCATTTATTATTTTTGAAATTTATTATTTATTTTTTATTTACATATTTAATTTTAATTTTATAAGTTACACTAAATTTATTTAGTATTTCTTTTAAATAATTTTGTTTTCACTTTAATGTTATTTAAAATTTTATTTCTTTTTAACTTTTTAAGAAAATTTTATACCTCTATCCATTAAAATATATTTGTTTTCCAAAAGTATAATCACGCCGTAATATCTTTAGTAATTGTCATATATATTTTTATCTTAGTTTTCTCTAATTCCTCAAAAATCTCAGGTGTAAATATTTTTCATTAACAATATAATTTCTGAATAAATCTTTAATTGGAAAAATAAATATTACTCTCATTTCTCACACTAATCACTGAATCATTCAAAATATCGGGGGAAAATATTTCATAACCATTGAAAAAAACAAAAGTGTTTTGAATTTATAATTTGTTCTTTGAAGTCCGATCCAATATATGACTTAAAATCTGATTTAATAAAGACCACAACATTCAAAACTTCTGTCATAAATATGTGTTTCTAACAACTTCTGTACCATGATTTTATTGTTATGTAACGACACAAAATAGAATTTTCATCATCTAAGGAGTTTCGGAAACGTCATAGGTGGGCGACTAACTCAAATTAATTTTTCTAAAACAGGCCTAACGAATCTGTGGCTGGGAAGCTGGGTCATCTGAACAAAAAGCTGGGAGATGGGTCATCTTTATTGTATATAAAAATATCAAAGGACAATCCACCATAAATCGTTCGTATCATATCCTATTACAATGGGAATGTCTAAATACAATAACTCAAAATCAAGCCCATCTAGAGACTTTTAATATTAACTGAAAACTGATTTTTAGAATCAGCACCAGCTCTGATTTAACGTCTTAATTTATTCAAACGTGCTATGGGTTTCGATTAAACTATATTAGCGACCATGTGTTGCATGTTCAAATCTTTTTTCCACAAATTACTAATCATGTGGTATAGATGGAAAAGAGAGAAGGGGGGGGGGGGAAGCTAAAAAATGGAGTCTCTAAATTTCATCGTGGTAAGAAGGAGAAAGAGGTATTAGATAAAAAGTCGTTTGAATGCAGCCCAGAATTATTAAGCCAACGCCTATAGTGTTCGAGTAACTCTGTGTGACATTAATTTAAAATTAATTAAATTCACCTCTTTTAGACCAAAAGCTATAGCTCGCAAACTTCTAGCTTTATCATAAGATAGGCTTCACTCCCACTCTTCAGATTCTGCTGACTTCTAAGATTACTCCAATATATGTTTCCTAAGCCCACATTTATGATTGTATACATAAAATGCTTCTCCTGTAATTTCCGCGTTATGTTGAGATTAAATTGATTGCTGGCAGGGATTTTGAAAATTGTTGTCATTTTCTTTGGTATTCAAAACTATATTCCACCAAAGATGTCAAGTAGAAAGAAATATCTGATCAACTATCTGTATCTGCGTCGTATGTAATCAAAACATCGAAATAATTCCCTAATATCCCATGAAATATTGCATTTTAACAAATCCAAAAATCGAATCAAATCATTGCTATGTAACAATGGAAGTAGTACCTCTCGGTGCCCAATGAAATTACTCTTTGAATGTTTTCAGAGCGACAACTTCATGAGATATTCCAGTACTTAATATGAGATACGAAAGAGAAAGATTCCCTTCCTCCGCCGAGTTCTGATATTGATCAGCAGCTCGGTCCGAATGCACTTCTCCGGTAGACCTTCCAACCGCGGACTCCCAGCAAACCATCCTGTTCCTCGCAGTAAGCAGATGTCCGCATGCATTAAAGGTCTTCCCACCTAAATCACCGCAGCCCCTCCCCGGCATTCAAACCACCGGAGCACTTTCTCGCTCCATTAATCACTGGGACGAGCAGTAATTAACATCTCAGCAGCGAGATGAAATCGGCGATTAGCATTCTTGGCAATGAAATCAAAAAAGAATCGATCCCTATGGGGACAGCGAAGGGTCACATCCGGGTCACCAAGCAACTTGACAGACAACTCGCTGAGGCTATAACGGATCGGTACCTCATTTTTGCAAGTATTTTGTCACCGCTCGTTGGCTTCTGTGCACTCCTGCCACTTCCTCGTGGGAAGTCTGATTTGTGACGTCCGTGTTTTGCCGTTAAATGTCTCCTTTGGAATCACAGTGATATATGTAGAGCCATTGCACTTTGGCCCCAGGCCCCTTGTTGATCGATTTTATTATTAAAATAACCAGTATATCTTCTCGAAATGGCTGTATGTTCTTCAGAGTCATTCAGAACTTCAGAGGTTTCAGATGGTATCGTATACAACTTTTGAAATTGCACGTTTCAAAAAAGAAGAATGTCTTTAAGGAGATATGTGGCTATAAAATGTTTAATTCTCTAATCTTTCTTCTATCTTCATGAAATTAATTTGAAAATTTTTTAGCATGCGCTTCTATCATACACAAAAAGATTCATAACTTTTGAGTCATTAATTTACTCCGCTCTTTTTTCATATATATTTAAATAACTTCCTCGTGACTTACAACTAAAAATAAAATTTTCATAACATTTCTTTTCTATAATATCCTCAATTTTCATATAAAATTTTTTAAAAAATGACTCTTGGATTTTTGAATTGAATCATTAATAGAGAAGGGAGGAGGGGCTGATTTTGATGATAGTTGATTTTTTCCTGAAAGGAATGCTTCAAATATTTTCTCCTGTTTTGAAATTAAGTAAATTATCAAAATAATCAAATGATGTTTGATGATTGACTGTGTTGATTCTTTATTGTACAATTAAGTGTAATATTTTAAAAATTTTATGGCTTTTAAGTAAACTCTGAGAATCATACAAGGAATATTTTGAATTCATATAAAAATAATTACGAGAAAAAGAATGAAATTAAAACGATAAGTCATTGAGAAAACACGAATAGAACACTAGATGTAGTTCGATTTGAATAATTTTTGTGGCTAATGAATGATAATTGCTTTTAGTACTCGATGTTTTTGATTTTTTTATAAAAACTTTTGATCTTTTTTATGCCTCCATAAATATCTTTAAATCGAAAACTGAGAACTTAAAAAAATATTTTTAGTCTTTATTTGCCAAGTAATTCTAGTTTTTTAAGGTTTCTTTTTTTCGGTTGACGGCATAATTTTGTAAATACAGAATAATTCCCTAACACCAGAGACTAAAAAAATAGACTTGCTTCACTTTTTTAAAACTAATCATTAAAATATCGAAATGAACTAAACCACTCGCATTAAATTTCTCATTTTACACATTTGAGTAATTTTCATCTTATTCAGAAGAGAGTTATAAGTAAAATTTGTAAAATGTAGTGATACTTTATATTCATGATATTCGTTTTATTTAGATTGTATTCACCTGAATTGAATCTCTGAGAAGGAATATATATGTCTGTCCTTAGGTCATTCTTTACCTTTTTCTTAAAATAATTATTTCAAATTAATTTTCAATATAAGAAATATTGTCCCTTTTAATACTATATAATAACTCTTATAGAATGTTTCATATTAATCCTTTTACATCTATATTCGCCTTACATCATGTGTCACTGAAGCATGTTAATTAATCTTAAAATTCAGACTTTTGGTGAATGAGAATTTTTCAAAATATGCTTAAAGAAAAAAACATTCCAGAACACATGCGCGAAAGGACGTCGCAATGAAAAATTACATAGAGAGGTAGACTTTTCGAAAAAATCCAAAATTTTAAACGTACACATACTGAAAAACAGAGGATCTCTAATCTGTGCGAAACGGAAATTGTGACGGACGAAAGCAACTGGTTTGAATTGACCACAGGCAAGATGTATTCTTAAGGAAAACACGAGAAGAAATAAAACACGCACACAACCATTTAAAAATCTAAATCTAATCTCCGCGCATCACTATTATTGTCGGCGAGTTTGCAACAGAATTGTTGTGTCTACTATATGCGTGGCTTCTGGTGAATAAAAATTTCTTTCTCAAGTTCTCCTCTCGAGGATCTAGAGTTAAAGTTTCAAAAGCAAAGGTGTCAAATTCATATCCAGCCGTGGGCTGATAGTTAACAAGTAAAATTCATGCGGACTTCACTCTACGTAGCGGAAGAATTCTTACTTTCCTAATTTACCTTCTGAATGAGAAAATTATTTCGGTTAGCTTTTCTACCACCTGGTTTTAATAAAATTATTCTGAATGCAAAGCCTTAAGACAGATGAGTCATCGTTAACTCAAAGTAATGAGTTTTTTAATAAAAATCAATAAAATCTTCCGCGGACACTACTTACTAACATAACATTACTTGTTACATATAAAATAACTATACAAAATTAATAAACATAATGTGAATAAACTTCTAGTTTTGCGAGAACTAAATGCTTAATATTAGACATACCAAGAAATGCGGTATTCTATCCGTCAAAATATTTGCTGCAGTTGGTGATGGAAAGAGTGCGATGATTCCACGCGACTAATAATTGTTCACTGACTAACATTAGAAGTTCGTTATCCTTCATTTCGAATAATCAGAAAAGTTTTTA